TTTAAGGAGACTAATGAACCCCCTGATGCTTTGGTTAAATCGGTGTTAGGCAATCAGGCTCACAACAATTTGGTGAATTCAGATGGTGCTTCCATTTCGGGAGATTTAAGTGTGCAAACTGTTCCTCAATGATTGGTGTTCATACCATTCTTTCTTCTTCTCTGTATTTGTTTTTTATGAATATTGTTTCATGGAATTGTAGAGGGGCTGGAAAAAAGGGCTTTCCCCCCTAATAAAAGACCTCACAAGAAGATATCGTATTTGTATCTTAGTGCTTTTGGAAACCCGTATTGGTGGACTGCGTGCAAAGCAGGTGGCTAAAAGCCTAGGGTTCTCAAAAAATTTTATTTCTGACCCAATTGGTTTTTCAGGAGGCATATGAATTCTTTGGAATTCATCAGAAGTGAATATCCAAGTTCTGCATACTGATCATCAGTTTATTCATTGAAAGATAAGCTGACTTAATTATCATAAGCAGAAATTTTTCACCTTTCTTTATGCTAGTCCTCGGCGTCAAGAACGTCATGCTCTATGGGATGCTTTGGAGAATATTTAGCCGCAAAATAATAATGAATGGTGCATTATGGGTGATTTTAATACTTACATTCACTCGGAGGAGAAGAGGGGAAGTTCAGTTCACAATTGGAGGAGCATGCAGGATTTTCAAGATTGTCTTATGTCTTGTCATCTTAGTGATCTGGGGCACCAAGGTCCGAGTTTTACTTGGAGAAGAGGTAATCTTTTGGAGAGACTTGATCGTGCTTGTGTAAATCAAAGCTGGAACATGTCATTTCCGAACAGAGTTATCTCTCACCTTCCTTTTTATAACTCTGATCATCGTCCAATCCTTCTTTGGGATGGACAACCAAATTTTAGTAATGGAGGGGCTCGTCCTTTTTGTTTTCCAGCGGCTTGGTTGACTCATAATTCTTTCTCTGATCTAGTGAAGAGGTGCTGGGCAGGTGGTCACAATTGGAAAGCATCTAGTGAAAACTTTCGAGAGAAAGCCACATCCTGGCATAAGGATTGTTACAAGGAGGAAGAGAAGTTAATAAATAGTCTTCATTCTCGCCTCCGAGGAATTAATTATAGCTTAAGTAAACATCCTTGTCATTCTCTGGAGAGGCTGCAAAAAGAGATTTGGCAACAGTTGAATACTATTTAACTTAGAGAAGAGATTACATGGTACCAAAGATCTAGAACTGACTGGATTCGGTTTGGTGACCGTAATACTAAATTCTTCCATTCAGCAACAGTTGCCAGGCGTAGGAGGAATAAGATTGATGCCCTTCAAAATGATGTCGGGGATTGGATTGCTAACTCATCTCTTCTCATGAGTATGTCAGTGGAATACTATGATAATTTATATAAGGAAGATATTCCTCTCCGGCCTAATTTTTCCATTAGGAACAAATTCCCAGAAATGGAAAGGAGAGTTATGATGGCTCTTGAGAGCTGCCCTAGTAGTCAAGAGATTAAAGGAGTAGTGTTCTCAATGGGGCCTTTTAAAGCGCCTGGTGTTGATGGTCTTCATAGCATATTTTTTCAAAGCCAATGGGATGTAGTGGAGAGCTCTGTCTGTAATTTCATAAAGGGAGTCTTCAATGATCCTAGTCGTATAGAAGAAGTGAATCAGACTCTTCTTTGCTTGATTCCTAAACTTGAGAATCCTCATACTTTCAAGGATTTTTGTCCAATTAGCTTGTGTAATGTTATTTATAAAACGGTAACAAAAATTATTGCTAACCGTTTAAAATTGCAGATGGACAAGCTGGTGATGCCTAATCAGTGCAGTTTTATCAGAGGTAGACAAGGTACGGATAATGTCATAATTGCTCAAGAGCTAATCCATTCAATGAGGAAAAAGAGAGGATCAAAAGGTTGGATGGCGATCGGGGTTGATCTTGAGAAAGCATACGATAGGATCAGTTGGAATTTCCTTCAGGATACCCTATATGTTGTAGGGCTTCCTGAAATTTGATAAGACTAATTATGTGGTGTGTTTCATCTTGCACTATGAATGTTCTTTGGAATGGGGCTTGTACTGAAGAATTCCGGCCAACTAGAGGCTTAAGACAAGGAGATCCTCTTTCTCCTTATCTTTTTGTCCTATGTATGGAAAGACTAGCCCATCTCATTTCTTAGGCAGTGGATCAAAGGCGGTGGAAGCCGGTGAGGATTAAAAAGGGAGCTCCACAAATTTCCCACTTATTTTTTGCTGACGATCTCCTTTTGTTTGCAGAAGCTTCTCAAGAGCAAGTGTTAATAATTCAACAAGCCTTACATATATTTTGTGATTCATCTGGTCAAAGAGTCAATCATAGTAAGACTAGAGTTTTCTTTTCTCAGAATGTGGGTCATACTCAAGCAAACCATCTTAGTGGGCTTCTTGGTTTTTCTTTGACTGCGGATCTTGGAAGATACTTGGGAATTCCTTTGCATCATAAGCGAGTGGGTCAGTCATCTTTCTCTTATGTTTTGGATCGAATGAATTCTAGAATTGTTGCTTGGAATCATGCCAGTCTATCTCTAGCAGGTCGTGTTACATTATCTAAAGCAGTGTTATTAGCAATCCCATCATATCCAATGCAGGTTTGTTCATTACCGCAAGTCACCTGTGAAGAGATTGATAGGAAGATTCGAAATTTTGTTTGGGGTTCATCTCCACACTCTAGACGTTGTCATCTTGTGGCATGGAAGCAAATCTGCATGGATAAAAAAAATGGAGGCCTTGGACTGCGGAGTATGAGGGAAATGAACTCAGCATTTATCATGAAGGTTGGGTTCAACCTTGTAGCTCATCCAGATGCCTTGTGGTCAAAGTTCTTACGTGCTAAGTACAATGTGGAGGCAGGCATGACGTCAATTATTCATGCTCCAAACTGCAGCTCCCAGCTTTGGAAGGGAATTACGTGTCATTGGGATATTATAATGGATCATAGTCGGGTGCAGTTAGGCAATGGTCAGTCCACTATGTTCTGGCTTGATAGCTGGCTGCCCGATTGTGGTCCTTTGATCTCATATGCAGGTTCTCAGTTTTCTGTTAGTGATACTCTTCAGAAGGTGGTGGACTACGTGGATGAATTGGAGCAATGGAAATGGAATTCTCTTCGACAATTGCTTCCAGATTCTGTGCTGCATCGATTTATGAATTTTCTTCCTCCTTCTAGTCAAGATGGCCAGGATCATTTAATTTGGAATGGAATGACAGATGGCAAGTTTACTGTTAAGTCAGCATATGCAATATTAGCCATCAATGATACTACAATCCAACAGTTTCCTTGGGAAAGTGTTTGGAGATGGTAGGGGCCGGAAAGAATTCGCTTTTTTCTTTGGTTAATGGCAGGGGAGAAGCTGATGACTAATGTTTGTAGACTCCGCCGTCATATGGCTCTTTCAGATCTGTGTCCTAGATGTAATTAGTCCAGTGAAACTATCCTTCATACTATTCGCGACTGTCCACTATCAAAGGAAGTATGGTGCATGATAATGCCTCATATAAATCAGCGTGAATTTTTCAACCTCAACCTGCACAATTGGATCATTTCTAATTTAGACAGCTTAAAGGATTGGGGGATGGGGTTGGACTGGCCTCTTTTATTTGGAATCTTAGCCTGGAAAATTTGGAAATGTAGGAATTCTTGGGTTTTTGAAGGTGATCGCCAGAATGCTTATTCACTTGTCCGTTCAGCAATTGGTTTCAGAGATAGTGTCGCTCTTGCAGCTAACCCTGTTTTTGGAGTGGGCAATCAACCAAGGAATCGAATAGAGAGATTGGTTGCTTGGTGTTGTCCTCCTGTGGATTGGGTTAAGCTTAATGTTGATGGTGCATGTGATGCTAATGGTACTAGGACTGGGTGTGGAGGAGTTTTTCGCGATGCCTCAGGAATTTGGATCGTCGGATTCTGTAAAAATTTAGGCTCAGGTACAGTTTTGCATGCTGAGTTATGGGCTTGCTTGGTTGGTTTGGAGCTAGCTTGGGATAAAGGTTTTAGGCAAGTTTGGCTCGAAGGAGATTCTCTTTCAGCTCAACAGCTCATTACAAATGGGTGCCACCATGATTACCCTGCGGCTAATTTGGTGAATCGTATTCGAAATTTGATGCAGTGAGATTGACAGATTTATATGTCTCACATTAACCGTGAAGGAAATAGAGTAGCAGACTTTCTAGCCTCTTACTCTTATGGTTTCTCTTGGGTAATTCAGGAATTTGATAGTCCACCGTTAGGTTGTATTGATAGTCTGTATGGTGACACTATAGGTGTTCACTGGTCTAGGCTTTGTGCCTAGTTTCTTTTTGTTGTGTTTTTGTTTTAATTTCCTATTATTTCCAAAAAAAAAAAAGAAATGCTCGAGATAGTTGCAGAGAAAAGATTCTCAACATGCGATTTGATGAGTTAATTGAAAGCATGCAAAATCCTCATGTTTATTAAGCATAGATAAAACCATGAAAGTTTAGAAAAACCATCAATAAAAATTATATAATACAATTATTAGCTAGTAAAAGATAGAACATGAGATGTCTAAGCATTACTATGAACTACAATCCAGAACATGAACAAAAAAAGTGCAACTCAAATCAAAAGTTTGAGCACATGCTCTGGAGACTAGATAGGAGGTACAATAAAATCATGAGATTGAGTGAACAAAATGTTGGTAGAAGAATGAAGGTAATTGATTTAATTTAAGCGTGTAATTGCGGTTGAAAGGGTGAAGGGGATGTTCATTGATAACGTACATGACTTGTACAAATCCCTTGATTATAGAAATTACAATATCAATCATAAACCTTTTTTTTTTTTTTTTTTTTGGTAACAATCATAAACCTTTTATATCCTAAATTATAGGGTGTATATACAATGTAGACAATGGCTTTTCTAACGGTATCAAACAACAATAGACATCATTAGCATCAAACACGAAATCTCGTTAACAATATAAAATAGCTTCCAAAATTATCTTGGTACACAAATTTGACACCATTTGAACGTGGATCAACCTTAGCAGAGACCAGATAGATTATCCCAAGAGTAGCAACCCTGGTTTTCATTATGGTTTGTTGTGTTGGTGAGAGGAAACAAGGGCTTTATATCATGTTCAAAATTGTCATCTGTTATGACACCTCCAGAAGATTGGACATGAGAGACTTCATGTGCATTGTTATTATGCCAATCCTGACCCTGCGTAGTGGAAGGCATTACAGTAAGCAGTGATGATAAGTCCTCGTTTGTGAATCTGCTCATGTCAGGTGCTTCTTCCTTTGGTTTTTGTCCTACATAGATCATGCAAATGGAATCAATGATAAAATCTTATGAGAAATTAATAATAACATAAATTGGCATAAAGTAATTATCTGCTCTTATAACTCAAAAATAGTATACTCCTTTTTATCCCCTAATAAAGTAATTTATTCATATTCCAAAATGTAGAAGACTACTATCTATTGAAATTGTATACAGCTAAAAGGAAGCGCTAAATACAACCAATTTCATTCCAATTTTAGGATATACTTTGAAACTCGGTCTAAAAATGCCCTTTTTCAGGTCAATTTAAATATCAATTTATGGAATCATACAGAACATATAAGGTAGAAAAGCATTGTTGAGACTAAAATATTATGAAAAGCCAAAACTAAAGCAATCTTATTCTATATTTGATATCAGAGCCAAATTATTGATTAGTGCATGCTGTCTCACACTGCATTAATTTCGAACTATGTCAAAAGACAAATAATGCAGAATAAAAAGTTCATGCCCAATAAAGAGAACTAGATTTTATATAACTAATGGCATAAAACTCAGCTGAAAGCAGAAAACATTTATTATTTGATGCCTGATGTTCATGCAAAGCAGTAACTCTCTAAACCTTCCAGGGCACACCCACATAAACAAGTAAAGAAAAATGTTAGTAGCACACTTTCTAACATGTTTTTTTAAAAAATTCTCTTTATCATTAGATTATTTTCAAATGGTTCCAATTAACATAGAGTGGGAGATTAAATTATTTAGAAGAACTTAAATGAAAATTCACCAAATAATAAGGAAAATGTTGAGAACAGAGTAATTATAAAACAAAATGGAAACAGGATTTGCAAAGCAATTATCTACCAATAAACCAATACAATAATCAACCTGAAGTAGAAGTAGAAGACCAATAAAAAGAGCTAAGTGGAAAGTCGTCAAAGCTTTGGCATCCATCAAACACATCATTTCCTTCATTCAAACTCAAGTAACTTCGTTTCTTTGAATTTTGGCCAGATGCCAATGCTTGAGCTTCCAATAGCAGATCCCCAAGCATCCCACTACTGTTATGGAAAGCATGATCATTGAACTGATTATCAAGCTTAGTATCTGGCTCTTGTGTTGGTTTTGAAAATTGGTTTGAAGGGAACTCCGACTTGTTTTGGAAAGCTGAAGAGGAAGAAGAAACCCCTCGATCGGAATCTAATAATGGGGTCTGAAAATACTGAGAAAAACTTGTGTTGTGCTGAACTGGGAACCTGAATCCATCAACATCATGCAACTGGGTTGTGATTGGATGATCATTGATAGAAGGAAACTGAACGTTGTGGCTTGAAGAGGGACGGTAACGCTTGAAGCGAAGTGGGTTACTTAGCAATGGTGCAGGTCTTTGGAAAGTGAAGGAGAGAGGGGAAGGTGAAGATGAGGACAAAGGTAAAGGTGCAGGGTCCAAGAAAGTGTAAGGGGAATAAGAGTGTGGTCTTTGTTGGAATGATGATGAAGAGAGAGGAGAACGAAGGTTTGCTGTTGGAGACAAAGGGTTATGATGGTGGTTCTGATGAAAAAACTCAAACTTTGGGGCAGTGTTTGGGTTTGATCCTGGTGGGGTTGAAGGGGTAGTGGGTGTGGTTGGTGTTGTGGGATGATCATGGTCATCTGAATACAGAGGAAGTCCTTGTCTTTGGCGGCGCTTGATCCTTGTGTTCCAATAGTTCTTGATTTCATTGTCTGTTCTCCCAGGTAACTACAACAAAACAAAACAAAAATAAAATCAGGTGTTCAAACTTTAAAACTCAAAGGTGGTTCAAAGCATAAAAATAGAAACAAAAAGCTAACATAGAGAAAAAAAAAAAACATCAAATCCCTTTATACAAAGCTCCTCGACTTTGCGAGGGTAAGGACGAGGATCGATCATATTTGCAAAGAGATTATTTTCTCAACTCTCACTCACTCATGATCTTCTCGTCAGAAGATCATGAGTGAGAGTAACTTGTCGCTGTTCCAAGACTCGTCCTCTAGAGACCAAAGATAGAGAAAATGAAGAAAAAAATTGTTTTTTTTTAATCTATTTATGAAAAATGCATACCAAAGCAGCCATTCGAGCCCATTTGTTGCCAAACTGTGCATGAAGGTCAACAATGAGTTTCTCTTCTTCAGGGGAGAAAGCACCTTTCTTTAAATTGGGTCGCAAATGGTTAGCCCATCTGAGCCTACAACTCTTGCCACATCGAGCCAACCCTGTATTCCTCTGCACTGCATTCCAATTCCCTTCACCATGTTTTGTTACATAATCTATCAGAATAGCATCCTCTGCGGTTGTCCAAGGACCCTTCTTCAGAGCAACATCATCCACACGGCCACCACCATCACCACCACCACCCTCACCACCACCACCATTGCCTCCTTCGCTACTTCCAATCATTGCGAGTAACCCGTTTTCATCATTTGCAGCATCATTAACTCTTGTCATATGCTCCATCTCAAGCTCCAATTTTTTTTTTTTCCCTTGCAAAAATATATACACTAGTTCAACTTCTTCTTGTTAGAGATATATTCTGGTATGTCTTTTCTTCTGTTTTCTCTCCATACGTATGTATATAACTATGCATGCATGCAAAATGAAGTATATATAACTTTCTCTCCCTTTTTGTAAAATGGGGTTCCTCAGTTGTTCCTTGTCAAGCAATCTTCAGTAAAGAAAAATACCTAACAACTATGAAAATAAAAAATCCTTCTTTTGAGCTTATGAAGAGAGAGAGAGAGAGAGAGAGAGAGAGAGAAAGTAGGAAGTTATGGCGATGGTGGTTGTGGCGGCGGTGGGTGAATGGAGATGATGATGGTGGCTGCTACTATGACGGTGAAGGGTGGTGGAGAATGGTTTGTGGGGTGCAAACAGAATCTATAGGCAACAACTGAATGAAGGGGTGCTTTGTGGCAAAAAAGTGCAAAATGGACCAATTTAGAGGGAATGCTAACATTGCGCTTCCGAGTAACTCTCTGAGCCAATGGTGTTAAATTGTACACGCGTTTTTCCTTCTAGTCCTATCTGTTATAGAAACTCATAACAGCTCAGTTCTTATGCACCATTTTTTTTCTGCTTGCTACAACAAAGCTTGCTGCTCATAATAGCAAATCCATCACACAATAGTGAAGGGATGAATTTGATTGTATATGTGTAAACATGTGGAATGACTTCTCACTTCTCAGTCAACAGCAGAGCACTAGTTGTTGTTCCTTCTAAGGTGGCATAAAACTGTCATGGATATTCAATTTGGGACAATTGCAATTTGTAAATTATAGTAAATTTGCTTTTTATGGCGATTAATGAAGTTAATAGTTATAAACTATTATTTGGACAAAAAAATTAATTTATTACAATTTAAATAACTAATTATAAATTTATTACTGTTGTGAAACTATTTACGCTTGTATTGCAGTATGTCACGCGCGGATTGGGCGTCACCAATCACGCCTAAGTTAGGCGTCACCCACGAGGCACTCACACCTAATTTAGGCGTGACTCATCAGGTGTTGACACGTCGCACAAAAAATTAATAATTTAACCGTAAACATAACTTTTGACTCGGGTATCAAAAAAGTAATTCTTTTTTTTGATTCCACATAACTTTTCGAGATCTACGTAATGACACTTCATTTGGCCTATTTTTCCCTCACAAACACAGTTTGAATTTGCAACAATAAGACTTTATCTTGTAAGTTGTGGTCTGAAATTAATGATGACATTAAAGTGGATTAGTCTATTTATAAATAAGAATACTTAATGTCATATTAAAAATATATACTTGCTACCAAGTGTTTGAAAAATAATAGTGTATAATATTGTGAGAAAAGAAAATGCCACAATATAAAAGTGTGAGAGGTTGGTGAGAATATAATGTTTTTTTTTGGCAAACAGAATATAATATTTTTTAAGTTGCATTAAAAAATACAAAACTTTTGATATATTCCATTAAAAATATGTTTTTGTGATGTGAAACATGCTTTGATAAGAGGGTTTGAGGTGAATTATACTATTATAAACGCCAAAGAATGCATTATTACAAACATATATAGCACTTATAACCCTCTTATCAAAGCATGTTTCAGAGCATAAAGTCCACAAAAAGAATGTATGAGTCCCATGAAAAGCCTGCAATTGGATGTCCCTTTGGCATATTTCATCTTTGTGAATAATTTTATTTAAATATTTTACTTCCTAACATTAAGAAATAATTCTCAGAAAATTTTTCAGTGCGTAGATATCAAAAAGTTATGTCAAATAAAAAAGGGCTTTACATCTCTCATTTAACATGAGGTTAGAAAATCTCCTACACACACATAATTTTAATGAGTCCCACCATAAACAAAAGACAAAAAAATAAAAAAAATATTGCACGGAAAATGAACTCTCACTGACATGAGAAAACAACTCTCCTGTTAAAGGAGAAACTGTTTTCCGATAAAAAAAATCACCTGCTTTAGACTTCCAAGCCAAAAAAATTACATGTGGCTTATTTGAATTTCTAAGGGACCGCGATTTCAATTAATTAGATTTATTTTGAATTTCTGAGGGACCTCAAACCGACTTTTTTTTAAGGGATTAAAATGGATCTTGTGTTTTCTCTTGAGGACGAAAAAAAATATTTACTCTTTTTTAAAAAGAAGATTATGCTTGGTGTAGGTTTGAAAATAACTCAAAGGCTTTTGGGTTTAAATGCTCTTATAATACCATTGTTACAAATTCGAACTATGTTTGTGAGAGATAAAATAAGCCAAATGAAATATCATTGCGTGGATATCGAAAAGTTATGAGAAATAAAAAAAAAATACCTGAGTAAAAAATTATGGTCTTCCAAAATTTTACGTTAAATTGTTAACTTTTTGTGACACGTGTCAACACCAAACGAATCACGCCTAAATTAGGTCTAAGTGTCTCGTGTGTGATGCCTAACTTAAGCGTGACTGGTGATGCCAATCCGGATAACACTGCAATACATGCATAAATAGTTTCAAAACAGCAATAAATTCGTAATTTTTTATTTAAATTTTAATTAATTAATTTTTCCCCTATTATTTGTTATCTTTAACTTCGACATTTTGTTTATTAATTTGTAAAATGTTTTGCACCCAAAAAATAATTATAGATGTTGAAAATATTCAACCAATAATGTTTTTTATTTTTTATTTTTATACTGATTTATCAATTATTTAATCAGTCCGCTTTAAATCACGTAAGATTATAAAGATGAAAAAACTCTCTCAAATAAATCCTTTTTTTTTTTTTTTTTTTGTAATACAAATAAATCCTTGCTACCACTGCATATTCACTAGTCAAACCTTATTACAACTGCATATTCAGGAGTCAGAAATAACCTCTACCAATTGATTTACCAGTTTGGTGATATTTACGAGGTATAATTTGAATATAAATCCTTCATAAATGACTATAAATTGACAAATAAAATAAAAAAACCCTTTAGCACACATATAATGACATCATAGTCAGAGGGCACTTGTTATACAAGTTATTAACAGAAAAATATATTTTTTGGAAATTAACTGGAAGAAAAAGATCTATAATGCATGGTCATATGCGTTCGTGGAAGTGCTATAGAACAGTTGTATAAAGTGGACCAATGCAGCCTAATGAACTCAAGTTATATGTCCAATGTCCAAACTGGTGTTCTTGATGACTGGCCCAATTCAAACATTTCTAAATCAAACAAACATGCAGTGGCTGAGGGGCAAGCTTTACTTGCGGATAGTATATCTGTATAGCATGTTTGGTATGTTGGAGGTTATGAGGCTGAGAGAGAAGGGTTTAGAGATGCTTGAAGTATTACACCAAGAGACATCAAGTTTGGAATGCTCAACAGTGTTACCTCTAGCTTAGGAAACCCTAGATATAATGCAAGCTATTGGGCTCCAGCCCATATGGACTCAAATAACCATGCTTTCACCTATTGAGCTTATATGTGAACATACTATTGGATTATATTATTAATATACCCAACAATCTCCTCCTATGTTCACCATATAGCACAATCCAATAGAGTGATCAATGTAATGTTCAAACAAATATGAATCATTGATATCCAGTCCAAGACAACTAATTCAGATCAATCAAAGAGTTTTAACTGTAAAACATTAAACTCAATAGCCATTTTCAATCTAAATAAATAAATCATCATTATCATGAATCTGTTCTGAGACCAACATACCAAAGTAAATATTTGGAGTTTTAGATTCAATCTAAACTCATCCAAATCCCAACATCCAAAATAAGTCTCAAAATCAGTTCACAATCAACAATGTTCATAAATTAAAGTTGCAAAATGTAAGTCTCAAATAAATGGACTCCACCAAAATGGGCAATAGCGGGTGAACTGTCAAGTCCTCACATACTCTAAATGATATATTCATTCATCAAGGAGGTGATCTTAGTCAAGATCCCTCTCATTAAGATCTCATCCATCTCTGCCATCCTCTGTAGAATATCAAGTATGAATTTCATATTATTATGAATTCAATCAGTTGAATAATATACCAAAGATGTCTAGTTCTACTAAAAGAACTTAGCATCATATCATCAGGAAAAGAAGAACATATATTAATGTCATAAAGCATCGCAATATTATGTTCATAAGCATTAAGCCAGTTTCATAAATTATGAACAAGGCCTAAACAGATTGTTTTGCAAAGAGTCATCAACTTAAGTTTACTTGTAAGAGAATAACTATTGTCTGGTTTCAATGAACAAAACCAATAGTCAAGTTACTTGCAATAATCTAGTCATGTGATGTCAAGTTTCAATTAAGAACATGACTGTTATGAATGATGGACCCAAGATGAAGAGAAGAGCTGGAGCTCCTGCCTGGACCAAAGACTATGTGGTTTAGACAGCCCAATAAAGAATACTACTGTTTGTAGCTTTTATGCTTTAATTCCAGTTGATAAAATACACTACTGTTATTTGTATTGGGCCACTTGGTTTGAGTGGTTACTGCTGATAGTATGACTCATGTGTGAGTCATTGCAAGGTGTCTATTGCTTACTTTCTGTTAGCACATTGTTAGGAAACGTGGCTTATATGCCCGATTAGGTGTCACAATGAAGAGGACTGGAATATACAGAAACTTTTCAATTGATTTTCTCTGATCTCTTTGGTTCTTCTATTTCTGCATTGAGATATCGATTTAGGATCCGCTATCCTAACATTGGTGCTTTCATCTCCTTGGAGCTCAATCAGATTTCACCATGCGCGTTCAATTTGGAATGTCACAATTACTGGTTCCTCAAAGTCAAATAATCTAGCATCAAGTTTGGAATGAGATCATTTAACCAAAAGGATGGTCCAACCAGGTTAGATTGTATCATCAAGTTTGGAATGACACAAGTTTCCCAGGTAGAACCTTTGAATCAGGTTTAAGTTATCTTCATCAAGTTTGGAATGAGACAACTTACCCTTTTCAAATTAAT